CAAAAGCAAAAGGGTCATTAAATCAGCACTCTAGGTCACATTCCCATTGTGCTGGCTTAAATTTGGTCAGACTCAATTCTGGCAGCTTGTCACAGTGTCCAGATTAACTGTGGCAGATGACTGTGAGCTCATCTGTGATGAAACAGGAGAGCTACGCTGATGGGGATGGGAGAACAACAATAAAAAACCCAAACAAACCCAGGACACCATAGCCGCACGTAATTAAGGATGGAATAAATTCCCACTGTGTAGGTTAGAAATTACAAGGGAAAGATGAGAGAAAGAGAAATTTATCTCCCAAATTTCTGGAGTATTTAAGATAAAATTTCTTTATATGCAGTGCTTGCAAGAATCGAAAGGAGTCAGTGAATGTGTGTACGACCCCATATTAACTTGTTTGAGGCCAGATTCAGTGGAAGCCAAACTATTTGTGCTGCCTGCAAATAGCCTCCCAAAGAGAAACAGAGCAGGAAACTCCCACAATAACACTCACAATAGGAGTGAAAGGCCAGCCAAACGCAGCCGGTGACACGTGACAAGTTCGACCAGTGTGTCTCTGAGCAGCTGGAGGAAGATTTCAATCCTGGTAATTTTGTAAAAGGACGTTTTTCAAAAGAGCCCTAAACTTGTCACAGCCGGTCAATGCAGCATGTAATGACCAACATGCTTTGTATATAGAGAAATGTCACATTTGTTAGACTGGGCCTAAGCTCACTGCTGTGGAAATATTTTAGAATTGATGATGATCTGCCTCTTTGCATGGATCCTTCTGTGCATGCTCTTGCAACTTGCTAAACATCAGATCCCCTGCCGATGGCCGTGTTCAGACTGCACTAGTAGAACCAACATGGCTGGTTCCATGTTGGCTGTGGGGGTGGGGGGAGCAACAAAAATTACAGATCAGTGTTTGTTTCCACTGAGAAAGTTTTGACCTGCTTAAAGAGCCATTGCTATGGAAACGTAATGAGAAGATAATTGAATGGAACCTCTTTGCCTTCCATCTCTTTACACTGATGCCAGGAAGGTCAGAACCTTGCAGCCTTGCTTTCCCTTCAGGTCCATGCAAATTTGATAAGAAACTAAAGGCCCATTTTCCTCTTCTATGCCAGCCCCGTTAGATAAATTATCTTGTGTTCAGTCAGTAACAGTTATAAAGATGTCGGTTTTCACACTGATTATGTGACTGGGCCCTA